CGGTGGCAAGCAACATCTCCTGTTACGGCGGGGGCATGTTACCATGTAAAGCACTGCGTAGCGGAAATTCTAACTGGACCGCAAAGTGCAAAGTGTCTGTCCTCACAAGTCATGTTAGAGCATGGCTTGCAGCGTCAGGAGGAACTTGAGGATGATGACAGTGACAATGACAATGATAAGCGCAGTTCCGTCATGCAGTTGACACGCAAGCCTGCGGCTGCATCTCACGGAGCCGTCTCCTTCATGCATCAGTAGTTCGATACTGTGAAGTTGATTTTCCCGGTTTGGCCACACCAACATCAGCCGTTCAAGGCAAAATGTCTACCTGTGCTTAATTAAGCACTGCACCATTCTTGAGCAGTCAGTTTCAACCCCCGGCCGATTTACCTCCGGTTCCCGTTGGTTAGGAGGCTGGGCGGGCCCCAGAGTCGGTCTGAACGACGTGGAGAAGAGAGAAATCTGTCCCTGCTGGGAATCGAACCCTGGCCGTCCAGCCCTTAGTCCGTCGCTATACCGTCTGGGCTTTCCCGGCTCTAGTATAAGTCCATGGAACACAATCGTTCTTCATAAGCTAGTAGTTGCTCAGATAGTCAAGTTGTGTGCTCAGTACTTTATGCAACCCGAAGGTTCACACTACCGTGTTCAGTAAAGCCCCTTCACTGGTCCCTCTCCAGCCCATATACCTCCCCATCTAAGCCTAGGTTTTCCAAATGGTTTCTTTCCTTCGAATTTGTCTACAGAAACTCTGAAAGCAAGTGCGCAGCTTCTCTGCCGCACGCACGCACGCACGCACGCACGCACGCACGCACGGTAATGATGGGCTGCGGCAAGTAACAAGTCGCCCGTCCCTTGCTTCATTCCAGCCGACGTTTCGAGACAGGCAGATCAATCAGCAGAAACAGTGGGCTACGGGATTCGATCCCCGGTACAAGCAGGGATTCTTGTTTTCACCACAGCGTCCAAACCGGCTTAAGTACCTGTGACACGCATCCACCCACTCATAAGTTTAGGCTACGTGGAGATATACTTCCGTCCCCCCACACATCTTTATTTACTTGCTCTTATAAGGGGGGCGGGTAAAGCTATCCCTGTAACAGGCCGCGAAGACCCATGGGGTTGCTGACACGTCGAGGCTCCCACATTTTCTAGACAATCGGCTCACAGATGGTGGTGAGGCTGTCAGCCCCACAAGCCGGCCCCCTTTTACCCCAAGGAAGATTTCTGTTAGAGGCTGAGTGGACTCCAGGGCCATGGTGCGACTGGAAGGATTAAATCAATTGAAAAATCGAACGATCTCATCCGTAATCGAACCCGCAACCTTCCGGCTTGTAGCACAGTGCCTCAGGCAACTAGGCTACCGGCGCTATGAAATTTCTTGTTTAAAAGCGGAAGGCGACTGCGTACAGACGTACAAATATCGACTGTTCTGCGCAGAGTACGGACTCTCACTGCAGTGTTCTTTTGTTGCTTTCGACGTGGATTTAATTGCCCCTAATTATTACAGAATGAACCGACCGGCCTCCAGGTATCATTAGCAGTGCCAATGTGGCAACACTGGGAACCGGTTCTCAGTCCCCGCGGTACGTTCAGCTGCTTCAGCTTAACCCTGGCCACTCTCTTCCACCTAGTCCCAAGATTCATACGTCTTCAGGACCTTCACCGCCAAGACAAGTCATGGAACTGTACCTCAAATTTGGCCACGACCACCTGTTCACCCACAACTTACCACTGAACAATCTGAGTTATAGAGAGCGTCGTTATTTAATATACAAGGCTTCACGGCGGTTAATATGAAGATCACTGTGTTCTTTTGATGTAACACTGTATAGGGTGGTAGAACGTACAAATTTTCGCCGAGATCTCCCGCCTCCATCTTCAGGATAGACGAGTAAGCCGGGTGGGAAAACGATGAGTACTCGTATAAGAAGGGAACAGGACTGCAAGGGGGAGGGCACTCGAGGCCATGGGCCACTAAAGGGCGGGGTGTCTCCTCCCACAAGACGGCATACTACGTAAAAAAATATATTCCCACCCAAGACGCTTTGCCCACGGTTCTGATTTGCTGACGTCACGCCTGCAGGTGGGAACACGTGACACCAGGAACACCGGTCGAGGAGCCTCCCATGTGACCCCCACCTGTTCATCACGTTGCTGCCGCAGTCGGCGCTCAAGGCGTCGGGGTGTCCAAACCTTTGAAACAGATGTCCAGCTCTCAGGACAGCCGCCCTGTATGTTGCCAGACCACACACAAATACACTGTGTGGGCAGAATGCAAAGACTTTATATATAAGAATTCAGTCCGTACATGACAGGAAACACATTACGTCTCTGCCACAGAGCCCAACCGGTTAATGCTGTTTGTTTGGGGAAAGAGTCGCTGTTCATTGTGAGAACCATACGGAACACATAAATACGTTCTGTGGACAAAACGCAGAGTTATTAATGTTAAAGGTGGGTACATACAGTTACCACAGTAACTTAAATCAGTGGTTCAAACCTTTGTGAGACAGCGGGCCGGTAAATTCTCTTTTTTATAAGATGAGGGCCCGCTACTGGGCCGCGGCCCGGCGGTTGAGAAGACACTGACTTAAATCGTATGATGTGCAGACAATATGTTGCCGACACGCTGGCCCCGCGAGCTGTGTAATCCGCAGAGAATCTGAGAGGCGCTGCTATTGCGAGATGCAGGGGCGGGGCGTGATTAGGAAATGCACGATGCACGAGGTCGGGGCCAACTGGCAGGCTGTCAGCAAGCGCTGCTGCACCTGTATCGCTTTCACTTTGTGCGTCCTTGGGGCAGAGGTGCCCAGTGTGTTGGTCGCCATTAGCACTCTTCTATCCTGCGGATGGAAGCCGAAGGTTCCTCCGAAATGTTGCTAACGATCTACCAAACTACACGGCGTCACAGCCTACTCCATTTCATTTCTCGGCATGGCACAGATGTATTCTACACATTTTCGGCCTGTTTAACGACGGTTTCAGTAGCGCAGTGTAAGTAGCGGCCAGTCACAGTAGCCGAGCGGTGTAAGGCTCGGTCGGAAGCCGGGATTATGGGTTCGAATCCCAGACAAGGCATGTATGTTTGGTTTGTGTATTTGTTTATTCTGTGTTTGTGTTGTCCTGTGTCTAGGTAGATTCCTTGTGACGAGCTGATCACTCGTCCAGGGGTCCTACCGTCTGTAAAATGATCATGAAACTGAAAAATCAGAGGCCAGGGTCCAAGGGGGCTGTAGGGCCAGCGTGAAATGACAGTATGATTAGTGAACAATGAACTGGAAATGGCATGGAAAAAACGGCCTAATTTGAGGTACTATCCTAGCATCTGCATGCACGTAAGGAAACAGACACAGCTGGTGTCCGCGCCGAGACTTGAACCCGGGATCTCCTGAACAGAACATACAAAAGTTGCTAATTACTGGCATTACAGAAGCTTTCCTTTACCAGACAGGCTTGTATCTTGAGCTAGTTCAATCAGACTGCTTAGTTAACAGCCTCTTCCTCCCGGACCTGCATTAACACTGTCCACAAGTCACCTGTCCTTTTAGTGACTTTGTACAACCTGATTTTTCTTTTTAATTTCATGTGTTTGTCGTGATTGTAAGTAACACGACTACCAACCATTTCTTGCTAACAACATCGGTAAGTTCCTCGTTATGTCAGGATAGGGACCAGTGGAGGGCTCTTGTGAACACGGCAATGCACCTTTGGGTTCCATAAAATGCTGGAAAATTCTCAAGAAGGGCCCAGCCCCGTGAATGAATGAATGAGTTCGTCGTATATAGCATTCCCGCCTCATATAGGAGACTTTTGCTGTCATTCTGTTTCGACACATCTGTAACATAAGCTAGGGACCAGGTTTCACACCCGTACAGGCAGGATGCATTAAATCTCCGACACACTGCAGCGGTCACCACGCATCTGAAAGGAGGAGGAAGTCAACACAAGGGGCACCCAAACCGGGGCCCCCTCTCTACTGCAAAATGGCAACTTGCGTGAATATCCTTAATTATCACTTCATATGCTGCTAAAACTCAGCGCGTTCCTGCCGCTGCAACTTAGTGCGGAATGCTTTGTCCTCCTGTTTGCCGTCTAAAAAACGCGAAGATGAAAAGGTAAAGTTTTCCCTGTACTTAATTAAGCACTACGCAGTGAAGGCGTATGGGGGAGTGGATGTAGGGAACCTCGGCACTAGCTGGAGGTGAGTGGTCGGCTTCACGCCCCGACCGCTTTACCCTCTGGGAAAGCGCCCCCGGTACCCATTGGATAGGACGT